ATAATAATAAAGTATAGAAGGTAATTAAACCGATATCATAGAAACACTAGAGAAAGACCATAAAATCACATGCTGGTTCTTTGAAGAGAGCAGTGAGAGTGACAAAACTAATTTAATCAGACTAATCTAGAAAACAAAAGAAAATACAAAGAAATAATACCAAAAACAGAAACATCACTTTAGATTACACAGATGCCACAACTGTAAACAACTTTACGCTGTAATACTGTAAACAATTTAACACTGATCAATTTGGAAATTTAAATGACATAAACAAATTCCTTGAAAGACACAAACTGCCAACACTCACCCAAGAAAAAATAACGCATGTCCATTTAAAAAATTAAATTCATAGTTAGAAATCTTCCCATAAAGAGATTCACTGATGAATTCTACCAAACAATTAAAAGAGAAATAATACCAACTATACCAAACTCTTCTGGAAAATAAAGGAGGAGGAGGTCAGGTAGCTCATGCCTGTAATCACAGCATTTTGGGAGGCTGAGAAGTGAGGATTGCCTAAGCCCACAAGCTCGAGACCAGCTGGGCAACATGGCGAGACCTTATCTCTACAATAAATTTAAAAAATTAACTAGGCATGCCTGTAGTCCCGCTACTTGGGAGGCTGAGGCGCAAGGATTGCCTGGGCCCAGGAGGTGAGGCTGCGGTGGACATGATCATTGTGATCGTGCCACTGCACTCCAGCCTGGGCGACAGAGTGAGATCCTGACTAAAAACAAATAAATAAAAAAAAATAAAAGGAGAAAATGTTCCCCCACCCACTCCACTAGATCTGGTAAGAAACCAGGAAAAAACCATCCCAAGGAAAGCAAACTACAGGCTAGCATTTCCTATGGGCATATATGTGAAGAGTCTTAATAGAACCTCAGAAATGGAACCTAAATGTATGAGATTAAGTTTCCTTGGTGTATGAGGAATGCAAAGTTGAATCATCATTTGAAAATCAACTGATGTAATTTACCACAGAAACAGAAAAAGGAAAGAAGAGATGTACAAAAAGCGTTTGGCAAAATTCCACACCCACTCATGTTTAGAACTCCCAGCAATCAGGAATGGAAATTCCCTCAACCTGAAAACAATCTACAAAAAGCTTACACTTAATGATAAAGACTGAATGATCCCCCTGAGATGAAGGCCATGGCAACAATGCCTGCCTCTACCACTTACATTCATCATTATACCAGAGGTCTTAATGCAATAAGGCAAGAAAGTAATACAAAAGCCACACAGACTGAAAAGAAAAAAAAAACAACAACTATCAGTTCATACTAAAATTTCTATGTCTCCCAGCAACCTTATGTTTAATTGTTTTTTGGGAGAGACATTACAAATTTAATAGCCTGAAAATGCATTTTGAACAAGAAATATAAAATAAAAACTTGCATTAAAAAATGCTATCTAAGATATATTTATATCTAAAACAGTCTTAAAATTTTTGGATTTTAAATTTGCTAGCATGTTAAGGACCTTTTTGTTCAAATATCATACTCAAGAACATTAAAAGTAAAAATAACCATCTAGGCTGAGCAAGCTGTTCATACATTCTTACAAAAAATTTACATATGTAAGAGTTAAAGCAAACCAAAAAATTAAGCCTATTACTTTTGCTATTAAATTCACTAATGAATTCAAACACAATGCTACAGGATTGAGTATCCCTTACCCAAAATGGTCAGAAACAGAAGTGCCTCGGATCTCCCAGTGCTCCGATTTGGAATATGATATTCGGCAGTGCCAACCTCTCAACCTGAAATCTGAACTCTGAAATGCTCCTATGAAAATTTCCTGCGAGTGTCATGGCCCTTGAAAAGCTTCAAATTTGGGAGCGTTTTGGATTTTTGGATGGGGATACTCACCCTGTGTTTGCAGAGAATGGGACTCAGTGACCACCGGCCAAAGGGCCATGATCAAGAGCAAGGTGGAGCAGAGCCCCTCACTTGCAGAAAGGGAAAGCATCTGCAATCCATTCGCCACAACGAAGCCACACGTTTCTCACAGAAAACAGAACTAAATTCTCATTCTCTAGCACAATTTTTTTTTAAAGCAGGATTGAGAGGACAGAAAAGTTCCCACAGCAGGAGGGGACCCGAAGGGGTTGCCCCCTCTAGCACAAATTATTATCAGAGTAGAGGGCAAGTACATTAGGGAGCTGAAATGGAAGGCTACACAACGAGAGCTTCCATGGAAACGGAGGTGCATGTGTACCATATTAAGTCACTTTCCTTTACTGATCTTTGACCAGATCTTGCTGAACTTTCAGGAGAGCTCTGAGGTCTCAGTCAGTGGTAGCATAGGCATGAGGTACAGTACTCTCAGATTCAGTTAATCTCTTGGCAATGACTTCAAATATTGCTAGCGGGGATTTCAGTGAATGTGCCCTAAAAAAAAGAACAATTTGTTAAACCATAAGTAGAATGATGGGGGGAAAAAACCCAGAAACCAAGAAAATTTATAAACAAAATTCATTCCCAGTGACCTAATTTATTAATTAAAGATTAATATAAGAAAAGCACCATTAAAATCTTTAGTATAAGGGGGAATATAAAATATCTGAGGAGTTTTAGCTTTAAGAGATATAACTATAGAAAAAAGGAACAAAATTCATGTTTCAGTTGTGATGGGATATCTTATGTTACTATGTATAAGATGATTAAAAGGAAATTAATCATTAATTAATGAATAATTCCCCTATGGATGTGTACATATATATATATGTACACACACAAATACAAACATACACAAATAATATATACACACACACGCATACACACACACACACAGTGAGACATATACATACCACCCATAAACAGCTTTTGTTACAAATAACACTTAAGCTCAAATCAGCAATAAATCCACAAATCAACTGCTGATGCGTCTCAATTTACAATTGTCTCAATACTCCATCATAAGCTGAAAAAACTGTTAACTGAAATGCATTCAGCACGTTTAATCTATTGAGCACCCTGGCTTAGCCCAGCCTGCCATCAAAGTGCTCAGAGCACTTCTCTTATCCCACAGCTGCAAAAGCTCCCAGTGACACGGTGTACTGCAGAGCACCAGTGGTCAGCCTCCGATCTAGTGAGAGCTGCAGCTCTCCCACGCACTGCAAGGGAGGGCCATCCTGCTTCTACCAAACATGAGTCACTCTCACATCATAAAGCTGAAAGGCTCTAAGTGGAACCACCTTTGAAAGGACACATGGAGCACTCACCAAGACAGACCACACTACAAATATAAAACTGATCTCAACACATTTAGGAAGACTGAAATCATGCAGAGTGTGTTCTGTAAACACAATGGAGTTAAGCTAGAAATGATAAACGAAAGATACCTGGATAGTCTTCAAACATTTCAAAGTTAAATTCATACTTACAAATAGCTCAGGGATCAAAGAAATCACAAGGGGAATGAAAGGCTGGAGAATTCTATGCAATTCTTACAAAAACAGCACAGGGAAAAAACAATCATCCAAGATGCTGGACAATCTGCCAAATTGTGTCTGTTCGAATGTGCAATTAAAGAAAATCATGTGAGCATCATTTTCCCTAGACTCCTTACAGAAAACATGAATGAGATCCTAAGACCCTCCCTGTGGCCACTGTGCCGGTGTGCTCCTCGAAAGAGCATGATGGCCCTTCAGTTCCATCCAGGCCCTTCCTCAGCCTCACTCTGTCTTGGGATTTCACTACAGTCACTTCAGGACCCTGGCAATAGCACTTTTCAAACATTACAGTGGAATACACTTCCCCATCAGAAACAGCATGTTTATTTACTTTCTTCTTTTCATTTTTAAATTGCTCATTCGATTTTAAATTCAACTGAACATCTCATGCTGCTTCTGACAGAAGAAATAGCCAGAAAGGTACTTGGAAAGGGAGGTGGAGGCAGAATGGAGCCACTTGAAAATAAAGGCGGTCCTACCGCACACACCCCAGAAGGAAAGGGACCTGCCACTCGGTTGTAAGGTGCTTCAGCATGACATGACGTGGTCGGCAAATAGACCACGTCCACAACAGGGACACACTTCAGTTAATAAAGCATGAAGAGCGTCATGATTGTGGCACACATGTATGTTGGCAGAGTTGTGGATCTTGAGGCAAGTTCAAGTGATCACAGTTTCAATGATCTATTTGGAAATCAGTGTAGAAATAGATTTGGTTTCTCCTAGGAAATCTGTATGGAGTTTGCTGTGTCACTTCTTCCATTGTTGAGATCACACTTCCCTTACCATGCTATCTCTAGTGCAACTGCTAGAATGGATCAGTAAAACTGCTCACAAAACATGTGGCAATTGCTCCTTTTCCTCACGTGTTTAAATCTGGAAAGTAAAAATCGACTCAGAGGACATTACCATTGCGTTGGGCTGTCCAGGAGTAGACACAGGGGGCGTCAATGGCTGGGGATAAGCGAGCCCCACTGGGGCCTGCACAGGAGCTACAGCAGGGGCAGGGGCTGTGGGGGCTGGTCAGGACTCTGGAACCTTGCCCATCTGGTTCAGCTGGACCAGTCTGAGAGGATCCCTGGAGATAGGGGAAGAAGGAAGCCATGATTAGCACCCAGAGAGAGAAGAGCCTCCAGAAAAGTCAGGACAGTGTAGGGGGAAGAGACAGATGTCAGGGTATGATTCCAATCAATTCCTTGAGCAAGGAAAATTAATTCCTGTCTCTTACCTGGTCTGCTGATTCCTATTATTTGTCCAATGTATAATATGTGTACATTTTCAAAAGCCTAATAATAATTAGAACTTTATCCAACTTGGGTACAGGCAGTGATTGTGGAAAA